TCTTCTTGAACACAGCCCCAGCTAGGGGGTGATCCTGGATGTCAGGCTGTAGGTACAACCTACCTTATATGCACTGATTCGGGGATGACCAGTCAGTTGAGACCAGTTGCAGGAAGATGCGGCCTGCCGGAAGCCTTACAACGAACGTCCCTCTTAAGACGTTAAATCCAATCAAAAAGACATGAGTGACCTCGACGGGCGAGTTCCCATCACAGAGCAGTCTCTGGGGTCTCCTCAGTCGAACCCAGGACCCACCTCTTCCCTGTGTGTGGCTCCCAATCCTACCGGCCCGTTCCCTCCCCCAGCGCCAGGTGCCCCTCGCAGTCCCTTCTCTCCAGCTAGCCTACAACGTGCTTCCTTTCCTTAAAACAAAACCCTGTCCTTGGCCACATATCCCCTTCCATGACACCATGTCTTCTCTTCTTTATAGAGAATTGTCTGTACTCACTGGCTCACCGCCCTCTCCTCCCACCCCCCAGAACCGACGCCCAGGCGGCTTTCTCTAGCACCACTCAGATGCTGTGTGCCAGTGAACTTGCCAGGGCAGAGACCCTCCCGATGCTCCCCTCCAGGGGAGGTGAGCTCCACCAGTAGAATGTTCCTGAGAGTCTGGGAAGAGGCCTTGGGCACGGCTGGCCTGGCCACTGCCTCCCTCTTCTTCCTCCCTTTCGTGGACCCTCAGCTGCCTCGGGGAACACACACTCTGCAGCTCCTCTAAACTTCTGCCGTGCAGAGTGGGCCCCACAGTGGTGACACTGACACCACCTGGAAGCTTTTCAGAAATGCAGAATCAGGGCCCCAACCAAAGCCACTCAAGTCAAAATCTGCATTTCAGCATAATCCCTGGGGGCTCATTAAAGTTCAAGAAGCTCTCCCAGCACTTTGGGAGGCCGAGGTGAGACGATTGCCTGAGCCCGTAGGTTCGAAATCAGGCTGGGCAACATGGTGAGACCTCATCTCTACAATAAAATTAAAAAATTAGCCGGGCGTGGTAGCACTCACCTGTAGTTCCGGCTACTTGTAAGGCTGAGGTGGAAGGAGCATGCCACTGCACTCCAGCCTGAGCAACGGAGACTCCAAACTCAAAATAAAATAAAATAAAATACAGTTCAAGAAGCTTTGCTTCAAACCCTCTAATTCTGAGGTTCAGTCTTAGAAGACCCACTTGCCCACAGATATAAGCCATGTTCTGACCACAGCTTTGTCAGTAATAAAGCTGCTGTTTTGGTCTCCCACCTCCCATCTGTCTCCTTTTCTCAATTGGTTCTCAAATTGGGAGAAAATAATGGTATTCACCGGCTCCCTCAGACTTCCATCACATTCTAGCTGCCCAAACCAGTGGCCCCTGCTCAGTCTTTATTTTTTCGAGTTGGAGTTTCACTCTCGTCATCCAGGCCGGAGTGCAGTAGCATGCTCTTGGCCACCGCAGCCTTGACCTGCTGGGTTTAAGTGATCCTTCCACCTCAGCCTTCCAAGCCTGTTCAGTCTTTATTGTAACCTACAGCTACACCAAACTCAGCGCCCACTTCCCACTCTTCAATGCCTCAGCCTGGCTGCCAGGTGTCATTCTCCCTCCACAGCCCTGCCTCTGTCTTGGCTGTCACTCTTCCTGATATCTACAAGACTCAGTCGTTGGTTCTTGCCCACCACACGCACTTCCCCGGTCTCCTTACCTGCCTCAACTTGGTGGTCTTCATGCTGACCGCTCCCAACTAAGCCCCTTGACTCCAGCTAGTTTACCCAATGGTTTTGTTGATGGCACATTCAGCTGGGAGCACTGGCACCTGAAAGCGAGCATGGCCAAAATCCAGTCTTTTTTTTTGGAGTCACGCTCATGGCCACTGCAACCTCAACCTGCTGGGCTCAGATGATCCTTTAGCTGGAACTATGGGCGTGTGCCACCATGCTGGGGCTAATTTTTTGATTTATTGTAGAGACAAAGTCTCGCCAAGTTACCCAGGCTGGTCTTGAACCCCTGGACTCAAGCAATCCTCTCCCCTCGGCCTCCCAAAGTGCTGGGATTATAGGCGTGAGCCACTGCGCCTGGCCAAAATCCAGTTAATTCAGCATCACCTTGGCTGTTCCACCTGCCATCTTCACCCCAGAGACAGCAGCACTGTTCTCTTGGCTCAGACACTAGTGCCTTCAGAGGCTTTTCTCCTTTCTCTCTTCTCTGCATGCAGTCTCTCAGCAAACTGCAGTTCTAACTTCAAAATGTTCCCTGAGTCTGACCACCTCCCTGCCTCTACGGCTCCTACTTGGTCTAAACTATCATTATCTTCCCTGCAACACTGGACCAACACGCTCAGATACTGTCCCCACTTTCCACCCTAGACTCATACACTGGTTTCCACTCAGAAGTCAGAATGATATATTAAAAACGCAAATAAGCCAGGCTCGGTGGCTCAGCCTGTAATCCCGCGCCTTGGGAGGCTGAGGTGAGTGGATTGCCTGAGCCCGCGGGTTCGAGACCCGCCTGGGCAGCGAGACCTCATCTCTACAATAAATCAAAAAATCAGCCGGGCATGGTAGCACATGCCTGTAATCCCGGCTACTTGGAAGGCTGAGGCGGAAGGATCGCCGGAGCCCAGCAGGTCGAGGTTGCGGCGGCCGGAAGCGGCCACTGCACTCCAGTCTGGGCGACAGTTTGAGACTCCAACTCACAAAAAAAAAAAAAAAAAAACGCAAATAGGCCATGCATGGTGGCTCAAGCCTGTAATCCCGGCACTTTGGGAGGCGAGGGGAGAGGATTGCCTGAGCTCAGGGATTCGACGTCAGCCTGGGCAACTTGGTGAGATCTCATCTCTACAATAAATCAAAAAATACGCCAGGTGTGGTAGCTTGCACCTGTAGTTCCAGCTACAGGAAGGCTGAGATGGAAGGATAGCCTGAGTCCAGCAGATCAAGGCCGAGGTAGCCATGAGCATGTCATTGCACTCCAGCCTAGTTGACAGAGTGAGACTCCAACTTCAGAAAAAAAAAAGGAAGAAAGCAAACAACACTCAGACACCTCTGCTCAAAAGCCTTTACTAGCTTCTCATTTCACTCGAATGAAATTCTGAGTTGTCACCTACACCCTGCGTTACCTCTTCCCTGGCTATTTTCTGGTATCCTCCATTGCTCTCCCCCTAAACTGACTGCATACCAGCATCCTTGCTGTCTCCGGAACATACTGAGGGTGCTGCTGCTTCAAGGGTCCCTTTTTCTTTTCTTTTTTTTTTTTTTGAGTTGGAGTCTCACTCCGTTGCCCAGACTGGAATGCAGTGGCCGCTCCTGGCCACCACAGCCTCGACCTGCTGGGCTCCGGCGATCCTTTCACCTCAGCCTTCTGAGTAGCCGGAACTACAAGGGCGCGCTACCATGCCTGGCTAATTTTTTGATTTATTGTAGAGATGAGGTCTCGCCAAGTTGCCTAGGCAGGTCTCGAACCCGCGGGTTCAGGCAGTCCACTCACCTCAGCCTCCCAAAGGCGCGGGATTACAGGATGAGCCACTGAGTCCGGCTAAGGGTCCCTTTTTCTACTTGGAAACCTCCTTGCCCGGGGGTTTGCATGTCCTTTAATTCAGGGGTCTGCTCCCTGTCATCTCCTAAGAGAGGCCTTCCCAGACCACATGGTGCATCCTGCCTATTACTCTCTCATTTTCTATTAAGCTTTCTTTTTCTCTGTGCTACTTAATACTTGATGCTATGAATTTGTGTAACAGCTACCTTCCACACTGGCATGAGAGCCCCAGGTGCATGGTTTTGCTGTTTACTGCTGTCATCAGCACCCAGTTGCACAGGGTGGGCACTCAAATACTTGTCAAATCTTATTGCTTTTGTCTGAGAGCTGCTTCTCCCTCCTTTCTTCCATTTCTTCCCAAACACCCAGGATGGTGGTACCTGCTCATTCTCTGCTCATGTTGGGACTTGCTAAATTAAGATGACAGAGGCAGGGCATGGGTGGCTCAAGCCTATAATCCCAGCACTTTAGGAAGTGGAGATGAGAGGACTGCCTGAGGTCATGGGTTTGAGACTAGCCTGGGCAACTTGGCAAGATCCTGTCTGTATAGGAAATCAAAAAAATTAACCAGGCATGGTGGCACGTGTCTGTAGTTCTGACTACTTGGAAGGCTGAGGCAGAAGAACTGCCTGAGTTCAGCAGGTTGAGACTGTGGTGGCCATGAGTGTGCCACTACACTTCAGCCTAGGTGTCAGAGCAAGACTTCAACTCAAAAAAAAAAAAAAAATTAAGCTGACACGTTGAAACATTCATATTTCCATTTTCTTCCCCACCAAAGCAAACCAACTAAAAACCCACAACACTATACGTCAGAATCTTTGCTAGGTGTACAAAGAGAGGTATCTGAAGAAAAGAGACAAATCTTCCAGCAAAAGCAGCCCCTTAGATATTTGGGAGAAAGACCTTTCTTTTTTTCTTAAGTGAGAAAGCAGGATTTATTGAGAGGACAGAAAAGTTCCCACAGTGGGAGGGGACCCACAGGGGTTGCCCAGGAGAAAATACTTTCAAAGAAACAGCACCATACTAAGCTGTCTTGGTTATATAAAAATCACTACTTTAGCCTGGTGCAGTGGCTCATACCTTTAATCCCAGCACTCTGGGAAGTCAAGACAAGAGGATTGCCTGAACCCAGGGGTTCAAGGCCAGCCTAGGCAACTTGGAGAGAGCCTGTCTATAATAGAAAAAATTAGCCAGGCATGGTGGCATGAGCCTTTGGTTCTGGCTACTTGGAAGGGTGAGGCAGGGCTGCCTGAGCCCAACAGGTTGAGGCTGCAGTAGCCACGAGTGTGTTACCACACTCCAACCTGGGTGACAGAGTGAGATTCTGGCTCAAATCAAACAAACAAAAAAGCCACACTATTTTGAGTATCAGAAAGGAATATGTAAGTGACAGCATCATGGTTTTTGTCTTAGAAAGGTCTTATCTTTGCAAGTAACGAAAAGAACTCTGTGTGTAGTTCCTTTCAAGGGGTGCACAAATAAAAGCACATCAAGAGCCTTTTGTTGCACTGGTTGTACCTTTATTATTTGACCTCGTTCACTAATAGTTCCGTGATGCAAGGTTACCATACACAGCTAGATAATGTCTGCATTGCACATCTAAGGCTATACAGCAAAAGAATCAGAATTAGTACAAATACAAGAACTATATTTACATTTTGTATACTCAAGCTCCAAACATCAGATAATATTTACAAAATAAAACATGAAAATGAAAATCCAAAATTAACAATGTACATTGTTGCTAATGTGCTCAACTCCTTCACTGGGGAGAGATCAGTTTGCAAAGTCTTGGTTCAAAAAGGCCACTTATGCATCATGGGTTTTGTTGTCGTGTGTGAGGATGGTGACAAGAGACTTGAAATCTCAACAGATAGGTACTTTAGAGCCACAGAGTCTAAGACAATGCCTTAAACACGAGAAGGCTGATGGATTCCTCAGGTGAACTAATGCCAGCATATGCAGCATGAGACAAATTAATTCAACATGAAAAACAACACATAACAGCCAGGGTTTGGCAAGAGACCACCCTCAGCTCCGACTTTCCATCTGAGCACAGCCGTCTGGCTCTGAGATTTTAAGATCCTTTTTATACCAACTTGAGTTTCTTCCTTTAAATGACTGGAGGCTTTCTCAAGATTTTATGGGGCTTAAATACTAATTTCATAAATGGCCTTTTGAACAGCAATAGCAAATAATCTCTCAGCTGATATTTCAATCTACCAAGGAAGCACACATTAGTACATTCCTGCTACACACAGTCATGGTCTGGCTCACACACCTGGGTGAATCACCGGCCATGGTAGACAGCTGTAGTGCACAGAAGTTAGAGTCCTACTTAACACAGTCAGCAAACCTTCTGAGAGCAGCAGCAGAATTAGTCTTTTCTTTTTAAGGAGTAGGTTAACAATCACATTTTAAAAAGGGAACCAAAGAAAAACTGAAGGACCCAAGTCAAACAAACAAGCCCTGATACTGTCCACTGGAGCCTGAGTAGACACAGCATGAGGGAGTGCAGAAAGTACCGAGTGCCACGTGCTGGAGAATTATTTCTCTTCCAGTCCAATGTGCAATGAATCACAGTTGCATAAATATACATACACCTTACACAAGTAAATATCCCTGTAAATGAGACAATGAGCAGCAGGCAACAAAGTCTTTGCTTTGAAATATGTGCCAGGAAAGGTCACCTTGTTTTTAGATCCCAAAAGACCGTTCACAATAATTGTTCCTTCATGTTCAACCAACTGAAAATTCATAAGAAATATTAGCAGTTGTATAAGTTCTATGTAGCTGAAGGGGAAAAACATAAAATAATAGTGGTTTCTTAGTTGGGACAACTCGCTTCATTTTCCCTCGCCATCTCCACATTGAATGTGCTGGAGCTAGGTACACCCCGTCGTCATGGGCAGCCCTGGTCTGTGCTTCTGCTTTGTGCATGGGCTGGCTGGCCCCACAAAGTCATGGCCTGAGAGCTGACTGACTCCCAGGCGGCACACAGACACAGGGGGTCTGACCATAGGTTAGGGGATGGTTGTGAGACCATGCCTTGCTTGGCAGGAGTGAGGGGGATGGGAGAGTGAGGGAGGAGGAGCTGCCTCATTCTAACCAGCTCTCATTTCTCTTAATTTCCATTAGTGTTTTCTTTCTTGCCTTTTAAATTTTTTGCTTGCTTAAAGGAATGCTTTAATAAATACATAAGTAGTCACCTTAAATTAAAGGGTAGTTTCCGTAAGGATTAGGCTTCTTAACCTTCCCACCACTACAGCTACAGTGGAAGCCTCATAAATGTTCTTGCCATAAATCCTCGGTCAGAGCTTCCCAGCAGGGGCCCTGCTGGAAAGGGAACACCCACCCTGAGAGCGCTGGCGTGGCCATACATGTCAGCCATGGCAGGACATGGCCACCCTGCTGCCTTCGGCTTCCTAGAGAGGTCCTACCTGGGCACATCATGAACAGACAATCCACTTTGGCTTGTTCGAATGTCTGACACTTTCAAAGCAAAGACTTTCCAAACCAGTTTTGTGTGAGTTAGAAGAAAAACAAGTCATTTCAGGTATTGCGTGACTGCGCTCTCCTCAGGCTTCCTGCCTCCCTGTCACAGACTTGGATCCTCTGTCACGCTTCACAACAGCAGCAACATCAGGGGGTTCATGTTAAAAGTGACCTTCAAATTCCATCTTAATTTTCCTGAAATTAGATTTAATTCTAATCCAGGCAGCCATCTCTAAGCACCAACAGACCCTGCTGGATTCGAATATACACCAGAAGGGCATATTGTGTCCGTCAGACAATCAGGAAACATCTAACTACATTAAAAAGCTTACATACCACTTAGAAAACAAATCACATTACAGTTAGTGACCTATGTGTTAAGGAGAGGAGGAAAGCTTTCAGAAATCCACCACATAGTTTCCACTGATCGCTTTTCAGATAAGGACACAGTCTGTGTCTTCCACCCTTCCCTTTATTAAGCTCTCTGCGATTCATTTTTTCTCTTCTTTGCAAGGAATAACCACAGGTGAAGTTGGGAGGCCTGTTCTTCAGAGATGAGCCCAACCAGGGAGTCAGAAAGGGTATAAATGATGATGAGTCTCCCTAGCAACTATTCTGCAGAGGTGCGAGAGCCCCTGACCTTCGCTGCATGGAGTGGAAAGTAATCCAGTAGCCTATCACCTGAGAGTCAACAACCTCAAGGTCAAGGACCCTCAGTCCTCACAAGGTGGGAGTGAGCAGATACTTTCCTGAAGGCCTGAGCGATGGAGACCCAGGGAGGTCTGTGTAAGGGAAGTAACAGATGGGTAAAACCATCTCAAGTCAACTGGCAGAGCAACTGAAGTCACCTGGAGGCTTTCTTTTCCCCATGTCATCCTGTAGAACGTACTGGCAGCTGAAAAAGACTTATCTTCTATGGGGGTCTCTAGAGGCCAGATGACCCTGGTCTGTCAACAGTGAGCTTCCACCTCCCCGGGCAATATTTCTACGCCAGAAATTCCCGGTGTAGAAATTTAAAAGTGACCTTCAAATTCCATCTTCATTTTCCTGAAATTAGATTTAATTCCAGTCCAGGCAGCCATCTCTAAGGATCAACAGACCCTGCTGGATTTGAATATACACCAGAAGGGCATATTGTGGGGTGAGAGAGACACCAGAGAATACAAGCAACAAACCACTGGACCAGGGCTCCCTGGATGCTCTTCTTTATTCCCAGGTGTTGTCTGCTTTGTTTGTTTGGAACAGTGGTAGTGGGTTGCTTTTAATCCTGGGATCCAGAAGGCACAGCCTGCCATGTTTGCTTAGCCATGAGTACAGGGAGACGAGCATCATTGAAAGCGACCACTGGGAGAGACTTCCCAGCTTATACTTGAAAGCTGTATTTCTTTGATCAAAGGCAGCTACAACAATCACAAAGTCACACTCAGCCTTATCTTAATTATAGTAATGATAAATGGCTATCAAGTTTATCATCAGCAAGTAAAACGCTCCCCCTTGTGGGATATTTGTGTATGACAGGGCACTAATTCCAAACTGCACCATCATCATGCACTCCAAAAACAGAATCAGAAACGCCCAGAGAAGAGCCTTCATTTCAGTAGAGAAAACAATCGTTCCAGGAGTCCTGCTGTGAGGAGCTAGAAGCGTCCTACTGACTGCTGCCCTCACAGCCCACTGCCAAATCCTGGGCCCCTTGAAGCCATGTCATCCTGTAGGTGTATCATGGCAGTATCCATAGTTCTTTACCTCTCACAGGGTCAACAGCAGCCACTATTCCAGGCCTAATGAAAAGCCCTCTCTTCTCTCTTCCAATCGATGAAAATTCCATAACTATATTCTAAATAAGCCCCGATTTTGACTCAGAGAATATAACTGTCCCATTTCTAAGTTCACCACAACCTTTTCTTTGAATGGAAATGCAGGGATTAGGCATGGCAAAAAGTGAAATAAAAGGAAAAAAAGGTTAAGTTTTTTCTCTCAGGTTCTCAAAAGGCCAGATGTATCCTCCTGTAGTCTCTAAGTCACCCAAGAAAAATTAAAGTGGCATCACAGAGAAAGAAAAACAAAGAATTATGTTGTCATGAAAAACAACAGACAAAGGTGTCCAAAGACAGCAGCACAGACATCAGAGGTGGTCACATGGGGACCTATCATACAAAAGGAAGCCAAAATATACCAAAAATAACTTGGAGATTCACTGGATCCCCTCGGGGTTTTTTTTGTGTGTGTGGGTGTGTTTTTTATCTTTTTTCCTTTTGTTAGGCCACATGCTACTAACAAGATTCTTAGCACAGGAAAAAAGAAAAGAGCACAGAGCAATGAGACAGGAGAGCCAGAAAGTCCTGGATGAGGAGAGTCCTGGATGGGACAGGAGAGCCAGAAAATTTCTGGATGAGGAGGGCAAGTAATCAAGCCACAGGATTACATACAAGAGTCACCATCAAGAATCACAAAGAGAAATGAGAGGTAACACTTTCTTTATCTCTCGAAGGCGAGCCAGGGCACTCAGCACAGTCACTCAGTACTTGGGCTGGCTCGGGCACCTGCGGGAGAGTTTTGACCTGTGGGAGAAAATGGGGAGGGAGGATTAGGAAAGCGGACCCAGGTGCTCTCTCCCCACTATCTGTTCCCTCTGAGGTCTCTCCTGGAACTTCCTCCTCCTTGGCCCTGCTGGCCCAGGTCAGGATCTCTTGGGATCTGAGGCTGAATCACAGTGCTGAAGTCGGGAGATCACCGAGGTTCTCACATCATCCCTGTACTCTTCTCCCCTTCCCCACCTACAGACCTCTTGAGAACAAAATGACGAAGAAGAAATATAGGTGCAAATGTGACCAGAATCTCCTCAGCAGTTCAGGACACAAGATGACATCTCATGAGATGCAGAAGTCTCATTTCCCCAACAACTAACTTACACTGCTGTCCCTTCTCTATTTTAAACCTCTTTAGAACAATACTACCTTTTCTACTTATGCTGATATCCCCTGAGGCCAAAAGGCAAGGAGAGAAAAGAAACACCAGAGCAATTTACCGTATTGTGCCAGCAAGAAGTGGGTTGAAGGCATACAACCAGTCATTCATGTCTTTGTCATTGAGAGCTTGCAAGAGGACTCCACGGTGCTTTGTGCAGACAGCAAAAGTGTTAGGCGTCTGGAAGAAACAGGTAGACGAGAAAGTTACTACCAGACGGAGCAATGGGGATCACATTGCCATATATATATTTTTAATTCTTCTTTATTTTTTCTTTTCTGAAGTAGAGACAGAGTCTCACTATGTTGCCCAGGCTGGTCTTGAACTACTAACCTCAAGCAATCCTCCCACCTTGGCCTGACTAGCCATGTTCACAAGGCATACTGCACGGCACACTGAAAGTCCAAGGAGATCAGATAGAAAGGACAGACCCTTGAAAGTCCAAGGAGATCAGACAGAAAGGACAGACAGAATACACAAAACAGAGTTCAGAACTTGAAGGGGAAGAGCATGGGTGGTGATGAAAAGCCACAACAGGTGGTGACGGACCTTCACCATGGCCTGCTGGTCCTCACTGTACTCCACCTGTGCTGTGGACAGATTAATGATTCCACGCTCCACTGGGTCTTTGTCACTGTTATAGATGAAGACATAAGGGCGACGGACCACGACAAAATGTTTAGCCCAGTTGCTGGAAAGTGGCTCCTTGAAATTCAGGTATCCCTTCTTAGAGACCACTGAGCTAAAAGGACAGCAAGAAAGACAAGTCAATTTCTCATGAGTTGAAGACCATCAAAATACATCTCATCTAGGCCAATAGGTTCAACAAAACAGCAATCGATCTATTTGGCTTGGAATCTTATCTGTAAGTAATACAGAGAAAAAGTGCCACAGCAATATGCCATGCCGGGGTGGAGATGTGTCATGAGAGATCACTGAAGCAGAAATCAAGTCCAGTTCTCTTATCCCAACTCAATGTGTATTAGACTGTGGTACAGACCACACAGAGAGGGGCTGGAAGTAAAACAGTACAATTTCCTTGCTGATTTATCTTTTATACCTGGCATCTCTGGTCAATACAGTACTCACCCTGGTCTAATTTCTTCAATATCCGGAACAAGATTGAGAAATTCATTTTTTCCTGCTCGGGCCAAATAGGGCGTTTCCATAGTTGGGACAATCTGAAACTGCTCAAATTCTGCACAGGGACTAGAGGCCCGAGAATTGGCTTCTGGAGTCCTATGAAAGAGACCGGTTAGGGAGAAAGTGGGAACAGGGGTTTCACTGAAGGTCAAGGCACACTGCTCACCACCTCACCAGGAGGAACACAATGCCTCTCCAGGAACACAGTTGCAGACATGAGTTTCAGAGTACTCAGCTGAGAAGAAAAGCTGGGGTCAGAAAGTTCACTCTGAATTCTGGTGTCGTCCTTCAAAAATTACAAGAGGAAACAGATGATTGATGACCACTGAGTCACATGTCTGGCTTCCTACCTTAAAGCCTAGTAAACGCCGGGCTCGGTGGCTCAGCCTGTAATCCCGCGCCTTTGGGAGGCTGAGGTGAGT